GACATCAATCTGTGTGTGTATATCATAAGCCATAGATCATGATCTACTCAATCAAAAATTTGGAACTGCAAATACAGTACCAACCTACAGGTAGAGTTTGCAATTATTCTAAAATATCAAACACTGTACTGTGAGTTCCCAAAGAAAGCCACAGACAAAGCCAATTTTTTGGCTTTTTTTTTCCTTCACATTCACAAATACTGAAAACTCACCAATTTCACTCTGAGACAGAAAACAACCTTTTAGTTTGAAATAATTCAAAGAACAGAAAATATGTTACTCTTTTGCTATAGCCATAACTGGCATCATATGCAATCCTGTCCTATTACTTTAGCAGAATGTGGACTCTTATTAAGGGTTCACATTTAAACATGCACAGGAACACCCATGATGGTGGTGGGTTATTGCTTTGTTTTGTTTTGTTTTTGAGCCTTACCAAAAGCTCGAAGGAGAGCAAAGATTGAGGTACTGATTTTGTACTTCGAGATAAAGAAACTGAGGCGTCAGTGGGTGAAATGGCTTGTTCAAGGTGTCAGAGCTGAGAACAAAACTAATCTGCTTCTAATTGTAGACCCCCTTTTAAAAGTTCACCTTTAAATCATACAACCATCAGATTCCCTGAGTTCTCTGAACTCCCCTCGCCATTTTTGTTGTCATTTTCAGTGAGAATATCATTGGAATCCAAAAAGCTTAAAGTTTGATTTACAAAAATAGGATTAAACTATTATGCTGATCTTAAGGAGCTGCTTCCAGCACTTCCTTATACTTAACACTTTTCTATTAAATTGCTAATCCTCTTATTTTACAGCTTAATTCTACCGTAAATCTGACATTTTTACTTCTTTCTCAATCCATTTCATTTCAAAGGCAGTTCAGTGAAAACATTCAAATATTTAACACACAGTGAGAAATGTTGAACTACTAATGTTATTACTGTATTTCTCCTTTTTTTTTTTTTGTCCAGGTAACATTATTCATACACAAAGATTTCTTAATTAATAAAAGCCACGGTCTGAAGGAAAATGACAGAGAGTGGATCATCCTAATCAATCATTCTTAAATACTGTGTCACACCATTGGCAAAATATTACTGGGCCCTCCTCTAACTGAAATAAAACTACAATACGAGGAAACAAAAACTTACCTGTGATGTGATTTGTTTATATCAGAGCAGCTGTTCTGAAACACTCAAAAGGATGCAAGAGTGTTCCTTCCCCAGGGATGAACCGAGGAGAGAGTTAGCAGGCAAAACAAATACAAAAGGGATGCTTTAAACAATGGTGTTTAGTTGCTCTTGCCTGTTGCATTGTCAGTGTTACCATAGTGCTTTCTATGCATGCATGTTTATGTCTAAATTCACCTGGAAATAAGGTAGGTCAAAAAATAATCTCAAAAAAGAAAGAGCGAAATTCTTAAAGTACGGTGGCTTTTCTCTCACTACAAGAGATTTCTTTTCTCTTTTCTATTTATATCCTAGCAAAGACTTTTATCCATTTTTGTTTCAATTTCTATGTTAAATATCCCCAAGGCACTTTAGTGCTTTGATATTTGTGGTTTGGCCAACAACCTACTAAATTTTAATGAGAATATGCCTAAAAGAAAAAACTCAACTGGAATATTTTTTTCTAAATTTTTGTTGTTGAGTTGCATAGCCTCTCCACACCCTAGTGCACAGTTGCCAAATTGCAAACTACACAGTAAGAGGAAACAATGACATTCAACCAAAGGGGAAAACACAGATGATGAATTTTACTGAACACTGTCTCATGTCCTCAACAAACTTGCATCCTCCATCTCCCTGGAGCACACAATGAGGATCATTTCAATGAAAATGCACCACCCATGGTAGTTCATTGTCAGAGAAAAGCCAATAAAATTTTGTAGTTTTCAGTGTACTTAGAGTACTTTGTAAAATTTATTCCTAAATATGTGTGATGGGTCAAACTGTGGTCCCCAAATTTATAGTTGAAGTCCTAAGCCCCCGGTACCATAGAATGTAATCTTATTTGGAGATAGGGTCTTCACAGAAGTAATCAAGTTAAAATTAGGATATTGGGGTGGGTCCTAATTCAATATGACTAATGCGAGGAGAGATTTTGGCTGAACTGAAGATACTTCAGGGCAGTGGCAAGAGATAAGAACAGAGTAATAAACCTGGTATTTGGGGTAAAGCTGAATCACTGATCAAAACTAAAAGCTGGAAAGGAACAAAACCATGGGATTAGACGGGGAGTTCATTTTCACATTGAATGTTAACGTCTCTACACTGTTGGAGAGACAAGAGAAAAACTGAGAAATCTATTTGGGGTGCACAGTTTCGGTAGAAATTTTAACAGCATTTGAACCAGAGTGGGAAAGATGTCTCAGAAAAGAATCACAAGAACCGGAGAACAGAGAACTATGTTTGGATCCGACAGCACATCCACGGTCAGCGAGGGCATCGAACACCAGGCCGCCTTGCAAGCACCCACTGTGCCTCTCCCTCCTTCCTACCAGATCCCTGATTTAGTTCAGACATCACCCTCCTGCATGGGGGTAATAATCTACTTAACGTAGAGGAATGTCACCTTTTCGAAGCTCCAGGGGGTAATCTGTTGTTTTAAGGAAAATCTCATAGCCCCTTGACAATAATTCATTCAGAGTGGAAATGTGACTTAAACTGGCCAGACAGAAGGGAAAGATTTTTGTTCCATGCTGAATGGAGAGGGACAGTCTTTCTCCTGCTGGGAGCTCGTGCCTCAGCCTGTTGCCAGCCACTTGGTTTCTCAGACTTCCTTGTAACTGTGAGTACCCATGTGACGTGGTTATGACCAGTAGGCCAGGGTCTGCTCAGAGGTTTCTAGAAGGCCACTTAAAGCCGGTGTGGTGCTGAGCAATGTTAAGAAGCCCCCGAATCCTTTCCAACCCCTCTCCTCTCCAGCTGCTGCTGGCAGCCACCCTGAAGAAAGCCGGCTGACACCCTGGGACACAGCTGACCGAGGGGGGGGCGCAGAGACAGGAAATCCTTCCCCCATGACCCACCCGACCCCTGAGGTCTGCCCCACCGCAGGCCTCCTTCACAAGAGTCAATCAAATTCCCTGCTCTCTAAGCCAGGTTCATGCTGCATTTCTGTCCCTTGAACTTGGAAGTATCCTAAAAGCTACAATAGGGAAATAAACTTACAAAGAGACCGAGAGAAGATTAGCTGGCAGAGAGAGGATCAGAAGAGCTCAGTGTGATACAGTCTGAGATAGGATGGCACTTGACAAAGAATAGAATCACCGACAGTGCCAAAGGTAGTACATTTATCAAGGACAATACTTTTCCTATACTATTTCTGCTTTGGCTACAGAACCTCTTTAATCAATCTGCGTTCACTGTCGCCACACCTGCTTTCCTGATTTACAAAATATCCCAAGGCTAACTAATCGCAGCCTACTTTACACTGGATTAGGATGACTATTATGGATTACAGTTTGTTTATGATGATTATAAAGTGTGTTTTTACAATGAAATACAGAATAAACATGGTCAGGTAAGACTTATTCAAAGTACGTACATTGAGACCACATTGAAACTTTTCTTTTCCCTAACTAGACCAAATTAATCAGTAAAGTCTTATAATTCTTATAGACACATTTTATTCAAACTGTTCTTTAATAAACAAAAATTGGAAAAATGTGAAACATTTATCTAAAGATTGAGAGAACAGTATAAGAAACCCCCATACATCTAGCACCCAGATTCCAAAACTGTGAGGCTGAGTCACTCTTACTTTTCCTTTCTCACCTGCTTCAGGTAAGTGAGGTGCAGCTATATTGCGTGGGGGTAAAAACAGCCCACTAGTTCTGCAGCTGGGTAACCTGACCCTAGCTGGATGGGAGTGGACTACGGGGGAGGCACTTGCTAGACCAGTCTTGCTGCCTAAATCCAGACCAGCACAGTGGCCAAACCTAACATCCCTTCCAAAGGAGAATTGCTTGGTAGTGTTGGAAAACATATTGAAGATGTAAAATCAGCTGTTTAAAAATCAGAATGTTGCCCGGCCAGCATGGCTCAGCGGTTGAGCATCAACCTAGGATCCAGGACATCGAGGTTCAATTCCCGGTCAGGGCACATGCCTGGGCTTCGGCTTGATCCCCAGTCAGGGGCGTGCAGGAGGCAGTGGTCAATGACTCTCTCATCACTGATGTTTCTGTCTCTCTCTCCCTCTCCCTTCCTCTCTCTGAAATCAATAAAGATATATTTAAAAATAAATAAATAAATATCAGAATGTTTCTTACATGAACAATGTGTATGAGTGTGTGTGTGTACATATATATATATATATACACATATATATATGTATATATATATATGGCAATTAGAGTCTCAGGACTACAGAAGCCCACCTAACCCTTAAAGTGGATGAGGTCACCGCTCTAATGGGTGATGCATGAAGCAGCTGTGAGAATCCTTGTCTTCTATTAAGCCCGACATCAAAGAGATTTGTAAAAATATAAAAACAATTCCAATCTTCTCACTACATTTTTTGTTTTGAAAATAGTTATTTAAAAAAAAATCATTTATATTAAAATGCAAAGGAGTTATTTTATCTTTAAATAATTCATAAATAATTATTACATTTTTTGTTTCAATTTCAGATAATCATATTAATAGACATACCAGCGTGCGTGCAGCCCCCAACCCACACACACGCAAACTCCTTGGGGGTGCTCAGTGATCTTCAAGACTATGACGGAGTACTTAAGGCAAAATGAGTGAGAACTGCTCCTTAAGAAAGACCCCTTTCTTCACCCCCTCAACTAAACTTCGGGAGAACATTGTTTTTTGCAGGTGCCCCTGGGTATGAGATCTGTCTCCTCCCTCACGTTCCCTGCACGGGAGCACCCTGACTTGGAGATTGGGGTAGGAAGCAGGCGGCGACTC